TCCTCTCAAATAGTACGATGTGCATACTTATATGCATGCAAATATTTTTGCAACGTCTGGTGGGGAAATTTGCTTTCGGTTTTCCCTGATAGCTATGCAAAGATTTTGCAACGCTGATAAATGTGCGAAAACGTGCACAAGTTTGCATGGAAAAGCGCAGGGGAGAAGAATAATATTGGGGGTGAGTGGGTGTTAGGCGAAAGCCCTTCCCATAATATGCAGATTTTCTGCGGCTTGACTGTTTGTGTACGGGTTAAGTCGAATGTTTTTGGGAGACTTTAAGGTGAGAGCCGCAGAAACTTGCTGATCAAACAATAACTGATAGTTTTTAAGAAGGAGATTAGCCAAAGTCAAGAAAAAAGTGCTGATAAGTTAAGTGCTTTACTGTTTTCTGACAGCAGGTGAACAAAAACTTGGTGGAACTTTAACTTTGTTGGGAATTAGCAGGCAAGAACTTGCGATTAAGGTCGAGCGAGTATTACAAAGATTGTAGGCCCTAAGAGCTCTTCACCTAAGCTAGTATTTATGAGAAGCGCAGAGGAGAGCGCACTTCAATATAAATGCACCCTAAAAACGTAAGGCAATTAAGAATGTAAAATTTTTCCGCTGTATTAAATGTGCTGGTTAATAATAAAGTATAAAAATTAATGTTCAACTTGCCAAAAAGAACTTGAATGGGGGAATTGAACTTTAACTCAGTCTATAATAAAATGTTAATTAAGAATATTAATCCGCTTTGGAAGCGTGACATGAGTTGCAATCAAGGTTGATAACTTCAAATTGAAAAGTTAAAATTAAAACTTGATTTCAGATTTCAATGGTGCTATCAAAGTTCTTAGCACTAATGATTTAATACATATTTTTTTAAGTGCAAAGGCTCCTTCAAAGTTCAGCTAAGCTATAAACCATAAAAAGTGTGAGGAAAAAGTGGGAGAAACTTGCGTAGCGAAAAGTGAATTTTAAGTGTCACTTACTAAGCCTGATTTAATGAGGAGATTTGCTAAAAAGTCCCATATACCACGCACCACACGACTTTAAGCCCTGGCTTTAAGCTGCTGACCTTTGGCTGCATTATGTGCAACTTGTGCAGGTTTGCTTTGGATATGATGAATTCCATTTGCATAAGTACCGCGTTGTTTTCGTTTGCCAGACTATCGGGCTTTATGCATGAGTATCTGTGTTTGTTCGCACACTGGCACTCAGAGATGCACAAATAAAGCCGGTTCCAAAGCCTGAATCATGGCACTCGTGTATTTAATCAAATATCAATTGATCGCCCATCCGCCACGTTGCATCGGTCGGAAAATAATTGTTCACCGGCAGAGGAAATTCCCGGTTACATACAATTGTGGTTGAAATTATAAGGTTTGAAAAGGTTTGCTAGTATTACCGCAATGGACACAACTTATCGAGGAAAAGCCACATATGTATGATTTCCCATTGATAGGATGTAAGTATTTATGGAAACACTTATGTTGGTTTTATACTGCATTCATTAGTAAGATGTGTTCATAGAGATAAAATAATTTTTATTGCAGCCTGCTATTTAATTAATATGGGAAAGGAATATGTATATACCCCAGAACTAGTGGTATAGACTATATAGATCTGAGAACCTAAGTATATTCATTTTTACTTACTTTTATTTTTTTTAACTTTTTCTGAAATAAGGCTTTCATTGTGATATTTCATCCCAAACAATTTAAATAATTAAAAAGTTTGTAGCGAAACAATTTGTGTAAAAACTTTTGGTAGCGAATAATAATTGTGTAATTGGTTAGAATTATATTTTCTCCGTTTTTGAAGAACAATAGTGGGGCTTAACTATTATTCCAGCTGTCACTGTTTCGTTGTACATATATTTGTGTGTGTGCCACGCCCCAGGAAACAGGAATATGCCAAAACAAATGGCAACACAATGCAAAAAACCCAAAATTCGAGGGCAAGCCAAAAATCCCATTGAAAAGGAAATGTCGGACAGAGACAGTATTACTGAGGGGGAAAAGGATGGGGAGATATAACAACACACGTTCTGAATCTTTTTTTATGTGAGTCTGTATTGGGGGGCAGACCAAATGGCGCCAATAAAAGTTTTTGTGCTCCATGAAAACAAAAAAAATTGTAGAAAGAGGTCTCGCAAAAATTCTACAAATCCCCTGAACTTTATTTATTTTTTCGCGTACGACCAGAGATTTAAAGTAAAAAATGGAACCGTGATATGGAGACAAGTGACATGTTAAGATGCCAAAAACGGAAATCCGGGTCAAGAAGTTTCCCAAACTTTTGAGCTTGACAATCAATGCCGTCGTTTTCGTTGTCATCTCTATTTACTCTAATCAGCTGGGAAAGAGCGCAAAAACAACAATGCAAATTGAGACAGACATACGAAAAGTCGAGCAAATAACCTGGTAAAAAGCAAATAATCCCGCTACATATTATATCTCCCCTTTTGCGCCCAATGTCATCAACACTCGTTTTTTGTTTGTCCCGCTCTCTTTGCAAATAAAAAAGCTCAAAAGCCGCCTGCTCTTGCCGACACTTGAGCTGAGTAAATAACGGCGTATTTAATCATTTCGTATGCAAATCGAGTTTGGCATAAAAGAAATAGTAGAATACACGCCGGGTGAATGGGCCTCGTACAGTAGAATGTCTATAAAGAAACCCCTTATTGGAATTTTAAAAAATTTGAGTTATTAGAACTTCAGTTTAGAAGTCAGTATAAATGTTCTTAAACGTGCACGTTGAACAAATAAAATGTTCAAAAAGTAATAATAATAATTTTAAATGTATTCAAAAATAGTACAGTTTTATATATATTTTTTGTAATATTCTGGGTGTTACTTTTAACTCATTTTTTTGCAAATTAACTAAACACAATTGAAAAAACCTTAAAAATGATAAAATGGTACTTCATAAGTAATTTATACAAAAATTTGGTGTACTCCTTGTTAAAATAAATGTAGTTTCTTAATTGTTATAAAAAAAGTTGGTTCATTTATTATTGAGTTTTGATTATGTAATCAATTTTTAAAATGCTGATAAGTCTTTGTTTAGAAATGAGTATTTTATGAGTTAGCGTAAAGTTTCCCAAATAAAATGCTTTTGAACGATTTTTTAATATGTTCAGAACTAAACATTTTTAGTTATGTCTTTGAAAATCCGTTCTTTCTCCAAAATCACTATTCCATTCTTGATGTTTAAAGAAATATTTGGCTAATAGGAAAGTTTTACTGTGTCTTTAGATTATTCGTTTAGTTCGATTCGCTGATTCACTTGGCTAAGCTTGAAATGTGAACTGATAAGCAGTAGCGTTTTCCATTTGTTAGAAAATAAACACCGCTCTCGCAGCATCATTGCAGTGACTCACCCAAATTAATTAAATCACTGACCTACAGTTTAATGGGCACTGGGCTGCCATATCGAGTGCTAATTGTTCCAAACTTCGCTCTCTAAAAAAATTACAATCACTCATCTATCAACACCCTCCCCCTCAGTCACCCCCTTCCTTTCATCATGTCATGTGATGATAAACATTTCTGACAGCTGTTTTTGTTGTTATTGCTTTGGCCTTTTTTCGCGCAGGTGCAAAAACAAAAACAAGAAGAAATTGTGAGAGTGAGAGAGAGTTGGAGAGAGCAAAACTCCATGTGGAGTTGGGCAAAAAGGGAGTTTAAAAGAGAAAGGGGAAAACGGAGAGCCAGAGAACAAGAGTCATGTGTATAAACTTATGTATGTTATGTAGATATGTAGCTTATGTGGTATTTTTCAGACGGGTTCTTTGCATAAATTTTAATAATTTGAAACACAAAATGTGCCCACTACGTATGAATAAGAAAATGGACAAGACACGCATGTTGAGTGTTTCTATGTAAGTATGACTGTTTGGCACTACATCTGCGTATAGACAGATGTGCCCAAAATAATAGGAAACCTGATTTTAAAGAACATATTCAAAATATTATTCATTATCAATATTTTTTGTTAAAAATTTATTTTTAAAAGAACTTTTAATAAACTTTTAAAAATAAACACATGAAGTAATTTATCAATATAATAGTTAAATGTGCCCAACCCATCGAATTCTCAATTTAACCAACAAAATAGACTCTCACAACAACAAAATATAGGAAAATTACTATTTTATGGTAGTTATACTATTAAATAGTACCCAAATCAACCACAAAATACACATCCCTATTTTTAATAGTTTTTAAGCCTTTTTAATAGTTACGTTACTATCCGTATAGGTAAATTTTACTTATAACATTAATATGTGTATAGCAGTGGTCGGCAGCGGCCTATCTAGTGAGCATAGGGAAGTGTTCTGCCCATCCTCTGCTCGCTCACGTATAACGTACATGTTCGTGTGACTTCGGCTTGGGTCTTCGGGTAATTTTTTTCTCAACTTCGGCGCGCTTTTTTGTTGCTGCGGCAGAGGATCTCAGTGCAAAGCAGAGAAACGTCTCGCTTCAGCACGCCGCGCGCAAACTTCGTGTTTGTTACACTCACACTAATGCAAGGCAAACTTGTAATGGTATGTGTGTGCCGACCACTGGTGTATAGCAATGACTGAAAAACACAAGATTTTTAAAGATCTGAAGTTTTTCAATGACTATGATAACCTAAATCTTTTGCAAAACCCGAAAAAGCATATGCCTTATGAGAAGTTTATGAACTTTAAGTTAAAGTAATGTGTACCTATAAAAGGTATAAAATCTATTTGTTAAGGTTTTAAAAAGAACATAATAAAAACAGACCTACAAACATTTTTAAAAATGCCTTGACTATGGTACACTTTAAGGTACTATAATTTTAACCATCGCTGTTAGCATGCGCTTATTCACATTCGTAAAACAAGTGCGTGTGTTTTTTATAGATCCGATACGGCGGCAACGGCTACAGCTACTCCCCAGGAGCGCGACTTCCCCAGATAGTATTTGTATGTAGGTATTCCAGCACTACAAACGTACATATGTGGGCACTTTGTGTATGGTACTCACCAGGGCAAAGGTCGTGACGGGGGCCACACGGAGGGCGAGACTTCTATAGGTGGTGGTCGAGGGTCGCAGGAACAGCCGGAAGGCGCTGACCATGGCGGCCCTATTTCTGGACATATTTCACCGGGCTAACTGGAACTGGGTCTACAGCTGGACACTACACCACACTGAATGCACTCTTCTTTATTCTTTGTGAATCACAAAAACACCGGTTATGTAGGGGGGGACTAACGAATGAGTAATATTAGAACTTCTTGGTATTCTGGGCGTCCAAAATGAGGTTGCGATTTTAAAATAAATTTTGAAATATAATCTACACTAGGAGGCTTTGCAGGACCTCTCAACCAAAATCAAATTTGGAATCGTTATGAACGAACCGAGTATTATTTATTCGAAACGGATACTTTAGCGATGCCCCTTTCATCATAGGAAATTCCAAAGGCACCGTTAGAACCCTCCGAACTTGATAAGACCGAATACGTAGCTCTCACGACAATAAGCAAAATACATAGACCAATGAAATTTGCCCTTTCACTAAACATTTTGATACGAATTATGTTGACTTTTGATTGCTCAAACAAAAGTATGTAAGTTGTAAAAGGGAAAAATGCAACAAGCCGCTTAAAAACAAAAAAAAAACACAACTGAGAACGGGCGCCAAAAAGGAGAATGGGAGAACTTTGGAGAGGAGAAGGGGCTGAGAGAATTACCGGTTCTTAACCGGCGAATCTTCTTTAGCTTTTCATCCGCGGCGCAGAGGGCAAAAACCCGACGATTATCACTCGGAATAGAATTATATATGGAGCGATATATATTCTGGCAATTTAATAATTAACAAGGCGGCGTTTTAGTGGGCCTTTCGCTGGCACTCTCTTTTCTGCTCTCTTCGCACTCTCTTCGCCCACAACTTTTTATTTTCAGCCGGCTATATGAACACGCGATTTTATTAATATTATTTTACAACTGTCGTTTTTAGCCGAGTACCTGTTAGCACGTGCTATTTTTATCGTTTAAGATCTAGTTAAATTTTAAATATTTATTTTTTTGGTTTTAGAATCAAGTCCGGTCACCATTTATTTTTTACCGTTAGTTTCCTAAATTTATATATATTTTTTATAAATATATTTCAAAAAGCGAGTATTTAAAGTTTAATATTTAAAGTTGTCAATAAAATTAAAAAACATTGACACCCACAACCGACACGAACGAACTTTAGAAATGAACTAACTGGAGGTACGAACGAAAAGCTATGCGGTGTCGATACCATCGGTGTTCCCTTGGAACCATCGAATATTTTTCTGGAATTTCACTGTTTTCACTAACCACAGAGCGCCATATTAGGGACTTTCAAATTTTGATCGCAAATGATAATACATGTACATTAGCTTATTAAAATGTATTTTGAAGTCATTTCAGTTTAAGCTTGATCAAATAACCTAAATTTATATCAGGGGGTGTTCATCATGTCTTATAATAATGACAATTTCAAAAACGTTTGTCTAATCGTTGAATTAAACCACATATTGAACATAAACTACTCATACGATACGTATGCCATCGATGTTTTCTTGAAACCATCGATTACTTTTCTGGGGTTTCTCTGTTTTCACTAAGGAACAAGCGCCAAATTATGTATTTTAAAATTTTTATAGCAAACAGTAATATATAAAGTAAAATATAAAGTTTGTATTTAATTTATTTTAATTTAAGCTAGAGGAAAATTATCTTTATTTATAGTAGGAGGTGTCCGTAGGAGGAGGTGCCTCACAGTTAAATAAACGGATTTTTGGGTTGTTAATTTAAGTTTTCCATAAAAATTACTCATACCATAGGTATGCCAGTTAGATTTAATGGTAACGGTGCGTATGATTGATTCAATTTTAAATGCAGAAGAGGATTTCTCGTTTATTATTATTATTTTTCAGAAAATATTTGTGTGTTTTATATGAGTATAAAACAAGCCAAAGCTAACCGAATTAATAAGAAATTTCGTTTTTATAAAACAAAGAGACTAAAAATTATTACATTTTTGATTGATACTATCGATATTTTCAGAAATTCCTTGGTTTTGAACTCCGCTAAGACTAGAACTTAGCTAAGTGTTAAATGTACTGCTTTATATGTGTGGGTGGTGCATTCGCTAGATGTAGATATATGCTGCATCTAGAATATGTATTTACCTTACATGGTGAGTGTACTCGCTAAATGAACTGCTTTACTACCGTTAAATTTAAAGATCGGTATCCTTAAATACAAAAAATGTTTTTGATAAGCTATCAATAAGGCAATCCATGAAACAGCTCGAGAGTTTTCCCGCAACCCAGATACCAACAAGAAAACATCAATTCCACTTTACACTTGCAATAATTTTCGCTTTTATTATTGTCGCATTACCAATCTAAACTTGAACTAGTTCTCATACAGTTACGCATATATCCAACTATACAATAGAGCTTTGCTTAGTGCTGCGTTAAAAATACAACTAGAGTTTTACAGTTATACATCGAGGCCTGTGACAAGCGCATTTTGGGTCTACTCACTAGGCTTAGGCTAAAAACATCTATAATACACTTAGGGGATAGAGGCAGCCTTATGCTTAACGTACTATTCCGATGTAGATATCTGTTTCAATGATGTAGCACTCGTTAACTGCTGGAACGAACTCACAGTTTTGGCATGGATTTAAAATTGCTTAAAGTACACAGTAGAGTCTCTGCAGCTGCCGTGTGAATAGTATAGTATGGGTTTTAGAGTTGTCAAAAGTTATTTGATCGAGTCTTTAGGATGCGGAGAGCTGAATCGGTGTCTGAGGTAATAACGAAAGTGCTGGATTATGCGTTAACTTAATTAGGCGCTTAATTCGCCATTACCGACTAATAAACATTAAACAACTAACAAAGCGCATTTATGCATTTATTCATGATGCCTCATGATATTATTTATGATAATTTATAATGCGCAAGCATACACACTCACACACACACGCCTATTTACACAATGCTCGCAGATAAACACACAGATACGCACTCACACACTGTACAACTTTAGCTGACAACTGCACTGACATTAATTAGCTGCAATAGCAACAACAAAAAAGATTTATGCATGTTAAAAGCGACTAATTATGTTATTTTTTCCTTCTTAATTTATAGTTTTTTCTACAGCAGCTGTTTTTAAGCTGTTCATAGGCCTGCCCTTTTCTGTTTTTCACTTTCGGCTAGCGTTTACACTGGGATAAAAACTGTGATTTTGAATATTTTCAATTTAAACTAAGGAGTTGTTTATACAAGATTGCCTTACAAACATTTTACAGGCCTAAAATTAATTTTTTTAAAATAAATATTAAGTTTTGTTTACTTTGAGCTTGCAAATTATGTCAATGAACATTAAGATGGTAATGTTAATATTTAAATTTCCCATTAATCTTTAAAGCTTAAATAATCGCCACTGCAAAGGCTTGCCGAATGTGAAAATTAGAACATGTCTGATGGGTTTTCCATAGCATTTTCGCCTCATTTCCTTCCTGTCAGTTGTGACGTCGTCGTCGCTGAGCGTTCTCCGCACTTTCGGCCGCCAGATGCAGCCAATGCAACTGTTTCCTGAGTTTTGCCCGCAATTTGCGATACTTAATGCCTCCTATGCTGCCGCCGCCCGCTCCTCCGCCGCCGAACAGCTGCTATCACGTGCCCGTGGACAGGTCGTCTTTGAGCCACTGCGGTATTGGCCGCGAGCCCAGCTTTTTGAGCAACTTCACCAGCGCCGTATTGTGATTCAGATAGTATCTGCAAGCGATGAAAAAACAGAGAGAAACGTCAGAAATGCAGGAAGTACGCAAGCAGAAGTGGTGGCGCGCAATTAGAATTTCAAATCGCTCTCTTGCCGCTTCAAAGACAGAACAAATATGCAGATCGACAGGGACTTATCTAGGCAGTACCTCTTTTGTAAGCTAAGTTTTTGAATATTTTACTTCAGCTTCCCATCTCGCGATTTGGATTGCTCACAGTTGAAGAGCAGATTCTACTAATCTTCAGTGAAATCCCTAAGAAAATTATTTCAATTTCGATTTTTATTTCCCCTAATAAACTATCCCCTTTACAAATCCTCTTCATTCTATTCCTTTTTTACCCACATAACATATTTGCGGCAAGGTTTCTGTTTTCCCCCACATCATCATGAAATCTCTACTCTCGTCAGGAAACAAATTTCCCCAGCTTACAGGCACTTTTATTTGGCCAACTCCAACTCCAACTCCCTTGATATATTTCCCATTTACTCCAGTTGAATGCCTCACAAAGTAGTCCATCTGTCCATCTCCATTTCCGTGTGTGGCTGTTGGCCTAGAAAAATCCCGCCCGGCAAATCGTTTTCCTTGTCAACTGACAACAGCTGGCATACCGACGAAATCGCAGTACAGCAAAGTGCACTTTTAGCGGCCGCAAAGTGGCACATACCCTTCACACGATATGAAACTGGGGGAGAAAAAAAGGAAAAACCAAACAAAAAAAGGGAAGAAAACCTGGGAGTTTTGTCCCCACAACCCTTGCCCACATATGTTCATTAATCCTTCACTCAAAGCAGCTGCTCCTTCGTCCTGTCTGTCCCAAATCACTCACACCGCCCACATGGACGACTGATGGCTCGAACTTTTCATGATTTTCCCACCTCTGCGAAATTCGTTGGGTCTCTGGTCTCAGGTCTCAGGTCTCCTTCCCTTTTTTGGATGGCAAATTTCGATTTTACTCACCGCTGCAACAGCTTGGCACTGCGCTCATCCATCGTGGGATACTGACGGCCCTTGGACTTTCCGAGGCATTTATTGCGCTTCTCGCTGACGGCCTGGCAGTAGAAGCCCTTCTTCACGTCGTATCGCAGGTGATTTGAATAATCGAGCAGCGGCTGGATTTTCAGGAAGCGCTGCAGCTCGTTCATCACATCGATGGGATTCAGGCGCAACTGCTCGCCATCGATGATGTGCAGCTGCTGGGCGGGATAGTAGGCCAGCCAGTGCTCCAAGTGCTGGGCGTACTTGCCGGGATTTAGGCACCGGTTCCGCAGATCCTTCAGCGCCCTGGGTGCCGAGTCACTTGCCGTTATGACCTGTTCGAGTGTTGGGGGAAGACAAGTGGAATGGTGTGGAATCAGTGATATTTCAAAGCTTGAGCACACGACTGGCTCATATGCACTTAAAGAAATTGAGTTATCATCTTAAATTATATTTATTTTTAGGATTATAAAAAATATTTTATTTAAAATTCTTGTTAGTGTTGATATTGCAAATTCTAGTTAATCAAAAGTACTTGAAAAGGACATTTTTAATCACCGTTTTTAAGATCGTGTAATGTATGACTTTTCCATATAAAGATATAATATTTAATCAAATACTTTTCGGTAAAAATCACTCATTAAATGGCTTTTGGTGGTTAAGTTGTTACTGTATTTTCAGAAAAACCTGGGTAGTAATACTATAATTTAACAAAACTAAGCATCGGAAACAAATAAAAGAAATATTATAATAGTTTATTTTATTATTATATCCTTTAATAAGAACTCAGAACAATATACCAAAATTGTTTTGTAACAATAGGTATATTATATGATATAATTCCTCATTTAATTTTTACTTGACCCACATTTTATTATTTTCATACATACTCGTACAAA